GACATCAGTGACCAGAAATACGACCACCTAGAGACCAAGCCAAGGGCTGGACTGGCTCCCAGGTCAGAAGTTCAACGTCTCCATCCTGCTCTGTCGCAGATGTGGTCGATGAGAGGGCACACGCCACCTCCACAACCGCCAGGACTGCCGATGACCACCCGGACTGGAAACAGTCCTAAAAATGCCTCCCTCTCCGAACAAGAGGCATGGCTTTTCTCTAGTGCATTTGTTTTTCATGTTTAACAAGCTGACAGGAGCGATTACTCAAATGCTAACGGCCGACTTACTGGTTAGTCCAACACAAACAAATCGTCCCCAGGCTGTCAGGACCTCCACAGTGTCCACTCTGCTAAAAACCTTTCATACGTCTCCTGCGTCGCAGCAACGCCTGCAAAGGGAGCCACCCTTTCAAATCCTGCATCCCTCTCCCACCAAAAAAAAATATGTATTTGCAGTGTTTTTATTAAGAGGGGGGAGGAAAGAGTTTCCTCAAAGTTTGGGGTGGGAAACAATGAAGAAACACCATCAGGGTGAGTTTACAATGCTCATAACCGGGTCACCATCTGCTTCATTCCTTCATCAGATAAAAGAGCGCCTCTGAACCCTTTATGCTCCCAGCTACATTGTCTGCGAAGATGCTCATGCCTTCAAGCATTAGGCTTTCAGAAAAAGTAAATCCAATTGCAGCCTAGGTTAGGAAACTTTCTGAAACACGTCTCTGGATCAAACTGTTGCCCCACCCCACCCCACCCCATGCCCCCCACTGGAAGGAACATATTTTTTAAGTGTTCACTAAAACATTAGGCTAGTTCAAGTTTTCGATGATTTTTTGTTGATCCTTTAATATCTAGGATGGGTCTCCCAGCAGGATTTGACGCTGAGACAAAAGGGGAGTTGGGGTGCTGTGGTTTCACATCCGTGAAAGTCACTGAGGGAGTCATGTGTACCTTGTCATTTCTGACCCAACTGTGAGAGCTTGCCCCGCTCTGCCCTCTCAGGCTTTCCTGCGTCCCACGGCCCCCCTGAGATGCTAAACAGAGTCACCAAGCCCCTCTGAGGGGGAAGCAGCGTCTGACTTCACAGCTGTCACCGTGTGCTCAGAGTGTCACAACAGTTTAGGGCAGATTAGAGAAAGTCATTTTTGATGAGCATATTAGAAGAGTCGGTTGTCATTAGCATACTGAACTAGGTGGCCTAAACCCACTGGGTCACCAGTGAGCCCCAGGCCGGGCTCTCCAGCCTTTGATTAATGGATGGGGTTAGCAATTAAGAGACCCTCACAGGGTGGAAGTACCGCACCTTCCAAGGCAATTTTGTGTTTTGCTCAAAGGTAATGAAGAGTAAACAGGGAGTTGAGATAAACTCAGCCAGACAAGAATAAAATGCCGTCCATATCACCACGATCCTTCATTTCTGCAATTCTGAGAATTCGGCCCAGCTAGGGGGCCAACTAGCCCACTTGTTTGCGAGGATTGATTAATAATTCTGCACTTTTGACTCAGCCAAATGTTTTCCTTGCATTTGTCCAGGTATTTGAAGAAGATAAGAATTAAATGACAGCTTAAAAGGTATTAAATAGACACATATACAAACATACTCTATCCCATCTACATTAGATGTCCTTCGAATTGGCAGATGTCACACTGATGGAGGAAACAGATGATATGATTTACATTTCAAAAAATGTCCTGCAGTCATTAGGGTCTGTTAAATTATGACACTAAATTAGTGCATGTGATTCGGCCAAGGGAGAGAAAAATTTTAATATGTTAATCAAGGCTAACAGCCAGGTGGGTGTGCTTTGTCTTCCATTTGTCTTTCAATTGAGGGTCAGGATATTAAATTTTATCTCTCACAGTTAAGGTCAGACACCTCCCCCTTGTGGTTCAGTGTAACCGATTCAGTCCTGTTACAACCTGTGTTCAGGTGTTCTGCTTCCACAGGTAGGTCACTTGACAAGCAGAGTCAAATGGCATTTCTGTTATCGTCAATCACCTTGTCCTCAAGTGTGAATGAACTACAGCAAATATAGGACCTTGACACTATCAATAATTAGTTAAGAATGGAAAGAGAATTACACTCCACTCGTAGACAAACACCATCACGCATCACTGAACGATGGGATATGTTGTGAGAAATGCATTATTAGGTGATTTTTGTGGCTGTGCGAACATCATAGAGTGTCCTTACACAAACTTACTTGATATAGCCTACTACCCACCTCAGCAATATGATGTTAATCTTATGGGACCTCTGTCATATATGCAGTCCATCATTGATCAAAATGTTATTTTACAGAGCATGACTATAACTAGTTTCCCCTGGAAAGGTCAGTGTTCCCATGCTAGCTATATTATCATAATGTGTTATTTGAATTATTTTTTAAAAACTGTGCAAAATATATAAGTAACGGAAAGGGTAAAATGATTTATTCAAGAATATATAAAGAGTACCTACAAATCAATAAAAGAAAATAGTCACAAGCTAATAAAAGTGAGCAAAGCAAATGAACAGGCAGTGCATGGAGAAGAAATTTTATGGCCAATTAATACAAAAAGAAGCTTAATGTCGTTAGCAGTCAAGTGAAAAGTAATTAAAACAATAAATGAACATTATTTTTCACCGGATAGATTGCAAAAGCTTTTAAAGTGTTGCAAGAATGTGAGAAACTGGTAGTATCATATAACTTTGAAGAGAGTGTAAGTTAGTAAAACTTTTGCACACTAATTGTCAGTCTCCATCAAAAATTTAAATTTTGTTAGATCTCGTAATTGGATTTCTTGGAAAGTATTTTTTAAGGACATTCAAAAAAGTTAAAGTTTTAAGTATAAAAGTATTCATTGTCACACTTGGTAGAATAGTAAATATAAATGTCCATCAATAGGACAATGGTGAAAGAAATCACGCAAAGGTCCCCCATGGAACAAACACAGTTACTGAAAATGACGAGCTAATGCTACCGGAGCTGACTTGAAAATGCCTATTCACATTACTAAATAGAAAAGCAAATTTTAAGAAACATTTGTGCTTATATGAGCCTATTAATATTCTAAAATACGTAGCACATGTTTATATGTATGCGTATGTAAATGTATAATAATAGGGTAAAATATCCATGAAATGGGAATGTCAGTGGAAGGTGAAGGGGTCTCTCACGGTTTACTCAATAGACATGTGTGTTGACTGAACTCTGCTAGAATCTGTCACGTATTACACAACTAACCAAAGCAAAAATCAGAAAGAAATAAAACACCCTTACCAATGAAGGTTAAACACTCAATGTTTCTATGAGATCTGACCGCATGGACATCGTTAACCATTTAACTCAGAAGAGAAGGATGCAGTGAAGAGCAGAGCCACTTAGAGTTTTCTTCCTTCTTTGTCTTCTCTCTCCTGGTCTCCTCTCTTTCCACAATGTGAGCAATTACAATACGCCAAGAGCTAGATATACGTTAAAGAATAATTAAAGACAGTGCCTGCCCTTATGCTGTTTGTAAAATAACATTGAGAAAGAAATTTTTTTAAATTACAATTAGAAAATATCATGCATTCTATACAGGAGCCAAAGATGTTTCAGTAACGGAAACACTGGCAGAACCCTTTTGGGACCAGAGGATCCGTAAGGTATCTCTGAGAAGAGAGTGTTTTGGTTTCCTGTGGCTGTCATAAAAACTGCCACAAACCAGGTGTCTGAAAACAACAGGAATTGATTCTCTCACAGTTCTGGAGGCCAGAAGTCCAAAACTGAGGGGTAAGCAGAGCCCCACTCTCTCCAAAGTCTCTAGAAGACAATGCGTTCCTTGCATCTTCCAGCTTCTGGTGGCCGTAAGCTTTCCTTCTGGCCGCATCACTCCATCCTCCACCTCCGTCTCCACACGGTCTTCCCCTCCATGAGTGTCTTCTCTTCTGTGTCTCATAAAGAGATGTATAGTTTGTTTTAGGGCCCTCATCGCGCGATCTTTAACTTAATTGCATCTACAAAGACTCTTTTTGCAAATAAAGTCACACTCACGTGTTCTGGAGGCCAGGACAAGGACATATGTTTTGTGGGGCCATCATTAAACTCAGTACAGATGACTTTGGGATTAACAAATATGAGGAATCTAGAAGACAGACATTGTGAAGAGAGTGTGTGAGTGTGCATGCATAATGTATGCCTGTGCTTGGTGAATGCATTCCAAGCAGCTGGAACGCCACCTATGTGGAAGAGGAAGTGGAGACCAGGGAGGAGTCTGCAGCAGCCCAAATGAAAGATGAGGGTACTGTGGACCAGGGGGTGTAGTTAACATAATAATAAGAGTGATTGGAGGCATAATGTTGGCAGCCAGACTTCTAATGCTTAAAGATGGAGAGGAAGAGAGAGATGAAACCAACAATGATAGCCAAGTTCCTACCTTGAGCAGTGACATGCGGAATACAAGGCAGACCCAGGTTTTGTGAGAGGGAGAATGGGGGCAATCAAAATTTCACTTTGCACACAAAAATACAAAGACTAGTCTTAGCAAACTAACACACCAGAGGAAAATGTAATTGCAACAGACATGGCAGATGAAGATAAATAGTCAAAATACATTTTTAAAAACCTTCAAATGAATAACGAATGAAACACATTAACAGATAATCCACAAAAGCAAAAATACAAACAATGGATATTATTTGAAAACATATTCAATATCACTCATAAATAAAAGAACTATAAATCAAAATATTTAATATTATCTTACTACATAAGCAAAGATCTTTAAAACAGACACAGTCATGACTGGAATGTAACAGAACAAATGGACTCCTTCCTGCACGCACTAATTGTGGCGCTGGGCGCAAACTTTCCAAAAGCAATTTGATGCAATGATTCCATTTTTCGAAATCTTCTTCCAAATACTCAGAAATATAGTCAAGAAATTCTGAACAGAGATATTTGCCTCAACATTATGAAGAATCAGAAAGACCTTTATACCAATATCAGAGACACAGTTATGTAAATTATCATATACGTTGAAACATTGTTCAGCATTAAAAGGCATTTTATAAAGAATTTTAAATGAATGGGAACATTGTACAAGGTTTAGCAGAAAGTAGAATATAGACTCTTATATACAAAAAAAAATGCCCACTGTTTGAGAAGTACATCAGCAAAAGATGGGAAGAAAACCTGACGATATGACACCAATGGTCACGTCATTGTATTTTTCTATGCTTTCCTAATTTCTTTCAATGACAGATGGCAGACCAAAGCAGAGGAAGGAGAAGATTCATGCTTAGAAGCAGGTCTCCACTTAATGACCTGCTGTGGGAATGATTCTTACAACTGGAAATGCTCTGGAAGTGGACCTCTCGCCAGAGTGGTTCTTTTGTTTTTTTCCTCAGATTTCTTTGGCATCGAAATACTTCACAGAGTCAGGCCTCCAAATCACTCTCAGCCTTCATTCACTGCCCCTTCAGCCTCCGAACAAACCGCCCATCCTCTTCAGAACTCTGTGGAGAAAAACAAGTAAATTAACTTCATATCTGAATAAAGCAAACTCTGAAAACCAAAGAGCAATTCCCAGTTGAGAAATGATCTTGTCTTTGCAATGTTTCCCACAACTGTTTAACCGGATCCTAAGAATAGCTTATCTCATAAAAAACTTTAAAGTCACTTTGCCTGTCGTCAAAATTGAGAGGAGAGTCTGCCAACTCTGTGGTGTGAGAAGCAATTGTCAAAGCAAAGGCAATATACGCATCCTTCCAATATTGTCCCTTCATAATTGTGGGTGGACCAAGATTCGGCAACAAGATTACTATATAAATCTGAATGCTAGCTGAGTGGTGCGCCCCATGGTACTTACAGTTCCTTTCTTGGAGGCTGTTTTGTGCCGTGAAATTCAATTCTCATTTTTGTATTAGCTTGGTTTCTATGTGTCTCTCAACTAACTCATCTCCAGATCTCCATACGAAACATAAAGCTCCGCTCAATACACTAGATCAATTTGGATGCTCTTCGACTCTTAGTTTTCCCTCTTGCTGGTGTAAATGGTCCTCCTTCTCTCATTTGGTCACACCCACAGATCCTTGTCCTGGCCTCTCTCTTCATCATCATCCTAGCAATCCCTGTTACCTTTCTTTTCTATGAACACTCTAGTTCTTGGAACTCACATATTCCTGTTTCTTAGTCTTCATGCTCATCTTGAGCAGCATATCCTATAGCAGTAAATTTCTGACACCTTGCATGTCTAGTAAATGTCTTTACTCTGTCCTCATACTTGCTCGATGGTTTCTCTGAATGTTGATGTAAATCGAAGATCAGTTTTTCTCAGAACTGTGAAGGCATTATTCTATTTTTCTGTAGCTTTCAGTGCTGCTGGTTCAAAATCCATTATGTTCTGAAGCCCCTTGCTTTGTAAGTGAATTATTTTTTTCCTCTCAAGGAGCTGTTGGGGTCCATGTCTCCAGTGTGTGAAATGCCATGGTAATGTGACTCAGTATGGAGCTTTTTCCTTCCATCGTGTGGATACTTTCAATTTCAGAATCCATGCCTTTCATTTCTGAGCAATGATATTCAAGTGTTTCGTGGAAAATGTTCTTCTCTCCTTTTCCTTTGGTTTCTCTGTCTGAAAACCCTAGTACCTGACTTCTGGGCTGAGCCTCTAATTTGATGAAATTTTTTATTATCTGTCTGTTGGTCTTTTTGTTCAACTTTCTGGGAAATCTCCTCAAATTTGTCTTCCATTCCTTCTACAGAATTACTAAGTATTTATTTAGAAAAGTTACTCTTGATTCCTCCTTTAATGCCTCCTGTTTATGCGAACATGTTAGCAGTTGTCTTTGGAGTATTAGCACCACTTCTCTCCTCCCAAAAAGTCCTTTTCGTTTTGATCCAGGAGGACCTCACAACATAAATAACACTCCAAGAATTGTTTTCCTGCCACTTCTTGTGAGAAACAACACAGCAAGTTTGAGAACTGGCCTATCACGTGAGCCCCCTTTCTCATGTGTCTGCTTGCTGATTTACATATTCAGCTCAGTCTTCCCCCAAAGTCCAAAGACGTGCCAGAGACAGCGGTGCTTCTCTCTTGTTGTTGGAACTCACAGTTAGATTGGAAGAGTCACTCACCACTGTCTGGTCGAATTTCCTTAATGAGATTCACACCAAATGCCTTGGATAAACACAACTTACACACTTTGGGCAAAGGGAAGTAGATCAAGTATGGGCTGTGTGGGACTGTGAAGGAATGACTTGTAGAAGCGGAAAACATGGCTGCTCCCTACTGCCCTGTATTAATGAGGATTGGTATGAAGGGACCTTTAAGAGTAGAAAGAATAAACATCCTCCAGAAAAGACAGAGCCCCTCAGCAACAAAGAATAGCAGTGGATTCAAGGTTAGAACAGGAAAGAAATGTCAATACGGGCCCTGTCCCTCTTGATTCTCAATCACCGCTTCTCAGACATTGCGGGCCCAGGCGGATACGCTGACCTGGCTGACCACAGAAAATAAATTAAACCTGACTCCTCAAGCTATTTAGCTTTATTCTCCAGGCTGTGGCGGCCTTTCCTTTTCTGTCTTCATTTTGGTTTGGATCATTGTCAGGGCTCCTTAACCCCTCATAGTGTAGATAAAAGTAATCATAATAAAAGATATCAATTTGAACATTCATGATACACCAGACACTGTGAGCACTATGCTTAAAGAGTTTTGATTGATTCAGAAAATAATCTATTCGAGGTAGATGATATTATATTTATTTTATAAATTATAATTTGAAGCTCAGAGTATTTAAATGACTTACCCATAGTCACACACTTCTGTATGTTTTCCATCTGTTCCAACTTCTCTTTATTTCCATTTCCAAAGCCTCAGCTCTGTCTAATATGGTAAGATAACAAAATCAGAAGATTAATGGGAAATCCCATACCCAATATGGCTGAGAAGTCCAAAGAAAACAAGGAGCGTAATTTTTAAAGGGTCACAATTTACCTATTTGCATCCTTCAGACTCTATTTCAGTGGGACTGAAGCTCATTTCATGTGACTCTCGCTGGAGCAAAACGCAGAGAATTGGCATTGCAGATTACCCAAGATGATAGCTCCCTGTAGACACGAAAGCCTTCTTTATTGGAAGAAATAAAGGGAAAACAACCCAAAATCACAACCCTAGAATTACAACCTTATTCAAAAGCTATAAAGCAGTACCAACTATCTGTTAAATTCACACATACTTAAAAATTCCATAATGACCGTGTTGTGAATACTAACTTCAGAAAATGATCATACTTGTATGTAATGAATATGTTTTCATGCAAAAGGGAAAATAATTGTCAGTTTTTGCAATGAATTAGAATTTATTTCTATGAAGATTTTCCAGAAGATTCCTGATTTAAAACAGCTTATCCCACTGCCAGAATATAGCTTAATATTTTTATTTAAAGAATATGGTTACTATAAGCTTATAAACTGAAGATCTTTCTATCTGCAAAGCACCCCTATCAAGGAAGAGAGACCACTGTTACCACCTTCATTTTAATGCGAAAGAAACAGAGAAAGAAGATAATTGCTCACTTAGATTACTTGCCAGTAAGAACAGAGGAAATAGACCCAGACTTTTCTACTGGCTTCCAGTACTTTTCTGCCAGAGTTCTCCATGCCCACAACGTGTAAAGTTGCACTAATAAAAAGAGCTATTGATTTTGGGTTGCAGAATTGATATTATTGCCTTATCCTCACATTAAGCATAAAAATGATAAAAATGTACTTGAGGACTCTCTTTTCCTTCTGTTCTTCCTTCCTTCTTCTTAGCTTCTAGAGTAACGGAATCAGACACAAGAGTCAGAGAATGAGGAGGCTGTGAGTAGAGGTCATGACTGAGGAAACATGTGGAAAATCTAAAATATTAAAACACTGAAATACCATTTTTCACGCAATTAAATAATTAGTTATAAAAGTGTACATCATAGAACTGAAATAATTTGATCTAAGACGTTTTTGTTCTTATTCCTGTTTGAAAATGTGACCAGAGGAGGGCTAATCCACGAGACCCAGAGGTCTCAGGCACAAAACCATGAGCAGTTTCACACGCCGTCTATCAGAGACAGAAACACGCCATCTGACCGTGCTGCTCGCGTCAGCGTCCGCTGTGCAGCTGTCTCTAGATCACAGCACCCGGGCCAGCCCAGACTGCTCCAGGCCACATTCGGGGAAAGGTCCAAGCTGCCGCCTCCCCCTTCTCCCCAGGCAGCTGCTGAAGCAAAAACAGTCCCACCTCCCCAGGCTCCTCGAATAGGGAGATTGCGTTTCAGCCCAGTGTTCTGTGTAGACACTGATTAACCCTGCTGCATTTCGAGCCGGGATTACATCAATATCTATTGATCAGCAGTCAAAGTGCATTGAGTCTTCTGCTCGGATCAATGCAGCCTGCAGACTGGGCCCCCACCCAGCAGCACCCTTTCCCTGGCCTCTGACACTCGGCTGTTCTTGTTGGGACTTAGGAGACGCCGCAGGAAGGGGAGCAGGTGAGGTGTTGTGTTGAATACTACAGTTCCGGGAAATTCCTGGTAGAGGATTGATGCTTTCCGGATAACCTCTACTGGTCTGAGCGATGCTAAACAACTTTTAACAAACAGGAACACCGTATGAAACAAAAGTAGAATACTCTGAGCACCATTCCTGGAATGTAAATCACGGTAGCCCTCCAGCCAGGTAGGAATTAACATGGCCAACTCTGAGTCTGAGATCTGTCCAGGATCTGTGACATAATAACCTTTACACAATTTGGTTTCATTCTTGGACTTGACCTTTTACATTGCTACTTGCCTTGGTGAAATGGTTACCTTTGGTTTATTTGTACTGTGTCTGCCATTTTTCATTAACAGAAACATTCTTGAGAAGTAACCATTCTTGTATTTTATTTACATTGATCTATTTTTTCTTTTAGTTGTGCCTAAAACAATTAAATGTATTGATATATTTAGGGAATCCACATGGAAACTCACGATTTTTAAAGGAATATTAAACAAGTGTCGTCCAAATAAAATCAATTGCGACCTTGCAAAATTGAGGAGTTAAAATGCTTTAAAACTAAATGAAAGCCAGGAGAAGTGGATATCCCCGTGGAATTGTTGAGGGTCCACTCTGGATGGGGTCCAGTTTCTAGGAGGCAGAGGTTAGCGCTTCCTCTCATTTCCAGAGCCCTCCAGTCTCTTTCTGACGAGGAGGCGTCCATCCCCTCCCCACACATGGCTACACTTAGCACAGAAGCTCTGAAAGGAGAAGACAGAGTGATCCTGGCTCTCAGATTCAGGCTTTTGTGGTGCTTTTGTCAGAGGCCCTGCAGCTGGACCTGAGGCTCAGAAAGGATGGTCTGAGGGGTTCCCCTCCCGCTGCGCTCAGGAGGCCCCCCCCCCGACACACACACACACGCCCCTTTGATGACCTGTGAGCCTCTGGAAGAAGCCCTCCCATGCATCTCTTTCAAAATCATGGCTGCATAAAATGAATTAAACAGTACTGAGCAGCGAGCAGTGCACGCGGAATGACAGGAGAAGTTTGAATAGCGATTTGTCCAACTAAAGCCCACGTGACCTGACCATTAAGTGTGTGTGCATTCACACCAGCATTCACACACACATCACACACACACCACTTACATACACACCATACCACACACACCATTCACAAACTCTCACACACATACAACACACACCACACCGCATCACACATACATCCCTGCATGCATTTACACATATGTATTCACACACACAGTATTACTCACTATGGGAGAATAATTAAATATATTTTTTAAATATAAAAGAAAAGTGTTAAAACACATTCAAATAATGTGAGCTTTGTTTCCAAATACTGTTCCATATAGATGTGAAATTTTAATATGTGCATGTGTGTTCTTTCAATGGTATGATCAGATATGTTCATTATTAAAATGACGCTCATCTCAGAGAGGTCCTGTGTGGAGTTTCTACAAAGGGCCTAGGAATCTAAGGTCCTTCTAGTAAATTTGGAAAATATATGCATTCCAAAATTCAAATGGAATCTAAAAAGGGAGGTTAGTTTTATTTAAAGTAAATATTTTATTTAATGGAAGTACAATATATGTTCTAGATTTATGTACATGCACACTGCGTAGATAAATTAATTTGAATAACAGCAGATTTCATTAAGAAAATGCTTGGATTATTTGCACATTGATTTGTTAGATTTTTAAGGTTATAGCATGCATTTTGCTTGGGAAAAAAACGTAAAATCTGGGACAAACTTGCAATATTCCTGAGCCTGGCTTAATTCCACATATAATTTGTCAATTCTAGATTGGTCCAAACCAGAGTCTTCCAATTTTTTCAAAGGGTCAGGAGCCAGCCTGTGTTTTCTGGAGTCCAGACAGTAATATCACAGCTACGGAAACCTCTTACAGCTGTTGGTGCCGGAACAAAAGCCGCTCCCTGTTGGGCCCCTTCCTTTCTCCCCTCTTTCCTTGTTTCCCTCTATCTTCCCTCCAATTCTTCCTTCCACCCTCCCTTCCCTCCTTTCTTGTCCCTCCTGTTCATCTGTACCTGCAGAACCAAGAGTATTTCCTAGTAAATAGAATTCACTCATTATGTCAGCTGAATGAAAAATCATCCCATTCCTTTATTCCTTTACTCCAGGAACATGTAGATTATCACTTACTGTGAGCCATATACTATACTGTGTCCCTCAGATACACAGATAATTCCTTCATGGTCCCTGCTTTTGAGAAATGCACAGCCTCCAGAAGCACATGGGCAAGCCATGGCCACTTACTCGACGTTACACCCAAAGTGGATCCTTCCACCCTCTCAACACGTTCTTCCTCTCTACAGCGAAGTTATTTTTCAGTAATAATCATTATTTTATTGATTTGTTCATTAGTTTTAAAACAACTAAAAATTAAGAAAAAGTTCCAATTTTATTTCTTTTAATTTTTATTTTTTTAAATTTTTTATTTTTGCAGTAACATTGGATTATAAACATTATATAGCTTTCAGGTGTACATTGTAATACATTTTGAATTCTGTGTAGATTATATCACGTTCACCACCCAAAAACTAATTATAAATATATCATTCAAATTTAATGAAATATTTATTATATGATCAAAAATTTGAATTTACAAACTAAAACCTCATGGCTTTCAGTTAGCAGTGTTTCACTGTTTTAAACTTTAGACAGACTTAAAACTCCAGTGATCGTATAGAATGGCAGAGTTGAAGGAACTGAGATTCTGTTTCTTTATCTGCAAAACCACTGAGTTATGATTGTCTATTTCAAAAGTACTATTTAAATATGGGAATGTGTATTAAATACAGGAAAGTGGAGTAACACAGGGTTCGTGATAAGAACTGCTCCTAAAGTGAACACCAACAATTCCGATTTCTTAAGAATTTATTCCCAAACAAACATATGTAGCTGAGTCCGTGTGTGATGGGGGGTAACTATATAACTGAGAGTTCTCTAAATTAACTTCTTGTGGACTATTATGTTTATTAAAGGATAAGTTATAAAAATGGGCTAGTTTTGGGGTTCGAATCCTGGGTGCGGACATGGCACTGCTCATCAGACCACTCTGAGGCAGCGTCCCACATGCCACAACTAGAAGGACCCACAACGAAGAATATACAACTATGTACTGGGGGGCTTTGGGGAGAAAAAGGAAAAAAATAAAATCTTTAAGGAAAAAAAAAAGGGCTAGTTTGAAGTTTACAGATATATTATTAAAACTCAACAATAGCCAGAGCAGTTGTTTACAACTTAGACCAACAAATATATTATTTGTCAGAGAGGCATATTTTATCGCTGGCTTTCTTTAGAATTGCCAGCACATTTTGATAATGAAAAGAAGACTGAAAGTCAGTTTTATTACTGTTTTGAATGTTCTGTAGACAATGCCTGCACTGCCTTAAAACCTGTTCTGGTTGCCCCAAATTTGGCATGCCACCCCAAACAAGGGAACACAGAATCACAAAATAATATTATTTAATGCTAGCAAGGCTAACAGTCCCTTAGAGTCACTGCCATCTTTAAATATGGGGCTGGGAATCGGGACAAAAGAGGGGT